CCCCTTCCCACATGGGGGAGATTTCCTTGGGTCTGAGCATTTTGTTGTGCATGCACTCCACCCCGCTCCTCAAGAAGTGGTATCCTGTCTCATCCGTATAGTATCTGAGCAGGTCCAGGGTTGTATGGTGTACTTCTTTACCTTGGCAGGGATTGCAGTATTTGGTCACGACCAGAAAGTTGTTCATATAGGACACGATTTCAGTGTGTGTGTTGGGAGTGCCAGCGCTTTTCTGGTCCGCCATGTGGCGTACACTTATTAGGAACAGGATGGGGGACAGGGGGGATCCCTGGGGTGTGCCCTTGTCTGTTGTGAAGGCCTTTGAGCTCCATCCATTAAACCTGTAGCTGGTTGCCCGGTTGGAAGCCCAGTGCCTTACCCACTGTCTGAGGTGGGGGTCTAGCTGCTTGATCTGTCCGTAAACCGTGTTTATTCTTAAGTGGTCAAAGCCCCCTTCTACGTCTAGGGTGCTAATAACCACATGGAGGAGCCCCTTGTCTGTGAGGATTTCGTGTAGGGCTTGAATTGCATCTGTTGTTCCGTGTTTCTTCCTGCCTCCGTACATGTTGGGGCCTAGCAGCCCGAGCTTGTCCACATATTGCACCGCTATCCATTCGAGAACCTTGACAAGGATAGACTGTAGCTGTGTGGGTCTCCAGCTCTCTGCTGCCGTGTAGGTGGACTTGTTGACCTTCACGATCAAGATGGTATTACTGACTTTCCAAGATGCCGGTACACCCTTGGTCCAGGCCCTGTTCATGACCGCTAGGTACAGGTCTTCTCTAAACTTGTACAGGAGTTTGACCAGCTATGTGGGTATGTTGTCTGGACCGGGTACCACCCCATTAGGTGATTGTTTCAGGGCTGCACTCAGGTTTCCTGCATGGATCAGTGTGGGGCCATAGTGGGTCTCGTTTAGGCCTAGTGGTGTTCTCCCCCATAGAGGGCCTGGTGGAGTTTGGTAGCTATGTCTGAGTACTCTCCTGCAGTGGAGCCGTCGTCTCTTACTAAGGCCAGGATCTGATGTTTGGTTTGCCTGACTTTAACAGCCCAGAAGCATTCTGGGTCTGTTTCCTCTTATAGGGTCCGACCAGCTGCTTCCTCTTTTGCTCGGGCAATGTCCCTCCAGTATTTCCTTCAGGTAGTCTTGAGCTCATCCAACTTTGGGTCCTCACACAGCCTCCGCAGAACCTCCCTTCTTTTTTCTCCCAGCTCCTTGCTCCAGAAGGCTTTTGCATTGGGCCTGGACTAGGTGATGTGCCTTACAACTATGCTGCTTAGCTTTGTTTGTACTGCCTCCAGGTTGTCCTCATTCTTGTCCCTAAGTAGGATTTCGGCCCTAATGGCCTGCCAATCCACCTTGTCGTACCTGAGTAGGTTGTCTCCCGCCTTTCTCCACCGAAAGCTGGTACTTATCACCAGCACCCTATGACTGGCAGTGGCGATCGTGGTAGGTTGAACTTTTATCTTATCTCCTCTGCCCATGATAACTAGGTCGAGGGTAGTGCCGGTGGGGTTGTTGTTTCTTGTGGGATGGATTATAGAGTATGGGTTCCTGACCACCAAGACCCTTTCCGCCATCCACATCTTCAGGCGTAATCCAGCCCTATTCTCTCTAGTGGACCAGTCTCCGTGTTTCCCATTTAGGTCCCTGACAATCATGTTATTGTCTAACTTAACATGCCAGGTGTTGTTCGAGTCAAAGTCGGACAGTGAGGGCCTTTGGTATCCAAAGATAAGTTCCCAGCCCTCTGTCCACAGAGTGATGTATTGTGAGATGATGTGTACCACCACAAACATGTGTATGTATTCGTTTCTAACATAAACTGTACATCCGAACCTCCTGGGCTCAAGCTGCTCAGAACAGGTATATCTATTTAAGTGGAGCCAGTCCTTGTTTTCCAGTGGCACTTCCGCCAGTAAGTAAATTTTAGGTTTTGATGTGAGGAAGCACTTCAACCACTCGGTGACAACATTCATGGACCCACCAATGTTGTGGTATATGATATAGATAACCGCCATAATTAATTAGTCGGAGTGGGCTCAGCCCTGGATAGGACTGCTGGGGCTGTTGGGGCAGCTGGCGCTGGCGATCGGGCTCTTGTTCTGGTGGGGCAATGTCTGTCCCCAGCGAAGTGCAAGGTCTCTTTGCAATTGACGCATTTCCAGACTGTGTGGAAGCAGGACTTCCCCTATCCTACAGTGCAGTATGCCTTAATGCAAATGAGGTCCTTGGTGTGGTGGTCACTGTTGCAGTACCTGTAATGGTAGGCGGCCCTGCAATGGGCCCCATGGTGCCCGTATTCTAGGCAATGTTCACAAGACATGGATGAGTCCTTCCTCATGTATTTCCAGAAGGAGCACCTCACCCCAAACACCGCCAAGCTGTGAAAGAGTCAGTTTGCTTCTTTGACCATCTCCTCAGTTGCCTCCACTGAAACAATAACTGATGATCTGATCTTTCCCTCTACCTTCAATACGGTAGGAGACTTGAGCCACTTGGGTCGGTCCATCACTCTAACCCCGGGGTTATATGGGCTGAGCTCCATTTCGAGCTCAGCCCATTTATCGCTATCCACCTCCAAGTCCTCTGGGGTCCAGTCTTCATCGCCGAGGAGGATGCTGTTAACCACAATATTTACTGTAGGTACGTCAGTGAGGAGGCTGAACCCAAAAATGTTGATCACATTCAGGGCTTTGGTAATGGCCGCCATGTCTCGAAGTGCCAGCTTCACAGGCAGGTTGTCTCTGGTGGTCAGGACCAGGTCCTCGTTTCGGTTGTACTCCGCATAGGTGAAGACCGTTTTCGTGGCCGAGTTAATGGCATCTCTGATTAGGGTAGGGGTGCACCCCTCCACTCCTATCTTCTTTCCTTTTTCCACTGAACAGATGAGAAGGCGGTATTGCCTTACATGTGGGGTAGAGGGGGCTGATGGGGTGCAGTTGCTCTGATTGCCGATCCCTGACCCTTTGGTTGCATTCCACTTCCTGATCAGGACAAGCCTGAACCCGTCCACATCTATTCCCATTGCTGAAATGGTGGCCCATGTCTTCTTTACCCCTTCCTTCTGGGCCTCGGGTTGTAATTGCCCCCCCTGCAACTGTCCACCCTTGCTACCTCTGGGGGGGGTGGTGGGAGTCTGCTAGGCGCCAGGCTGGATGCCCTTACTGTCTGGGCTGAGGGGTTTTGTCTGGTGGGGCCAGCTGGAGTTGTCACCTGCATGGGGTTGTTCTGAACGGAGGAGATAATCCTCAATTCCATGGCGTCCAGCTTGATGTCCGTCCTCTGTTGCATGGCCTCCAGCTTAGTTTGCATCATTTGCTCCATAGACCTTAGGAGTATGGTAAGCAGGTACAGGGTGTTCCCTACGTTTGTATGGGTCTGGGACTCAGCATCGCCCATGAGGTGGCGGATGCTCTCTGGGGTGGCTTGGGCAATCGTGGGGGGCCAGCTGACTGGTGTGCTGGTAGTGGGCTCAGGCTGCTGCAGGGCCATGGGTGGGGGGTTGTTTCTGTGGGCGTGCTCCTTTCCCTTTTCCCTGTTAAGGAATGAGGGGGGGAATAGAAACATTGATGTTGCTCCTGAGGAAGCTGTGCGGTTGCCTGAGGGGGTGCAGGGGATCTCGAATATCTTGTTCTGGAAGAAGAATTGTACCAACTTGGAATGGGAGATAGCGCAGATAAATTGCCCAGTAAGGGTGGGCAGAGCTGGGGAGAGGGTGGAGGTCGAGGGGGTGGAGGTGGTGTGCTGGCTGTCCCTGAGTCCTGTACCGTCCAAGTTTCTCCCCTCTCCTAGTCCCATGGGGGTGTCGGGGGTTTCTGTTGACTGCGGTTCTTAGGCCGGTGCTTGGGACATCTCCAGGTCCTCAATAATCGGGGGGGAGGATGCCAGTAGAATCTGGGAGGTTCGGGCTGGGCTGTCATTTAAGGGTTGGTAGAAGGAGGTGGCGGCAGCCAAATGGGCTAGTGCTTCCACGTCGATTTCATCCACAGTCTCATTTCCAAAGACCTTGGCTAGGGTGGTTCTGAACCCGGGGTGTGGGGATGGGGCGTTAAGGGTTGCTGGCCCAGTGGGGGGGTTGGCTATGTTCACATAGTAGGTGTGGAGGTACTCAAGATCTTTGCGCACGCTGGGGAAGGTACTTCCGGGGGTGACGATCCTGGCGCCCACATTGACCAGGGTATTGGAGCAGTTGGGGGGGTGGATAATCCGGGCAAAAGTGGAGATTATCCAGTCAAGGATGACTCCAATAGGGGATCTGGGCAGGAGGAGGCTGGGGGAGCTGCGGGGGGAGTTCCTGGGCCCTCCTAGGGGGGATGGTTTGGTGGGAGAGTGGGACATGATGGATTACAAGGTGGTCTTCTGGCCAGTGCCTTGTTTCCCAGGTGTTTGGAAGCCTTAAGCAGGGAGCCTTTAATTGGCTGGCCCACCTAAGGGAGGGTATTCAGAGAGCAGGGTGGAGTAATAAAAAACAACAAGAAACTAGTTGTACCGAGGAAAAAAGTGAGGTAGCAAGTGCTTAGCAGTAAATCAAGTGTGGGAGCGTAATCCCCACTTCGATATACCGTATTTTCTCTTTCTTTCTCGTCCTGGTGTGTGTGTGTGTGTGTGTGTGTGTGTGTGTGTGCACCCAACTATGATAATTATGACAACAAACTAATGGCCCATCACGGTACCCTACTTTAACTGCGTCTACGGGGTCAAAGATATCAGCCCTGCTATGATACAATATCGTACAGTACAGTCGCCCAAAGAAGCTGATGATGCCATGTAAAGTGGTGCGGTGTGCCAGCTGGGCGAACCAACCAACCCGTAACTGCCAAACTTTTGATGAATTCCAGTTCTGTCTCGCACATGGCGAAAAAAATGATTTCGGGTAAAGCGCTTTCTCACACCTCTTTGAATCTACAAATCTTGTTCGCCTCAAGTGCTGAAGCAAGTACGGACCACAGTGTCAAGGGACGGTGGTGCTAGTCGGAGCATGGTTGGGCAGTGCTTTTCACTCGAATAGAGAGTACACATCTGGGAAAACTTTAGGGACAATTCGAGAATTATCTCAGCAGGCATCTCGAGAGCATTACGTTTGCTCAAGAGCGCAGTGCAGTTCGTGAGAACCAGACAGGAACAGTCGAGTATTGTAAACGATCTTGATAAACTCGAGTGCTTGATCCCCTCGTAAGACAGAACGTGCTAAGCACTTTACTTACCCCGGATATCATATCACATGATATATATTACAAAGTCATAGAAAAACCGATACAGAAGACGCGAAGCCGAACCTGAACAAAAGTACTAAACGGCAGCAGCATACGCGCTCCAAATATGAAAATCCAAACGCCAGACTTCAATGCTGTGAAAATGAAAAACATGGGTCTAAGCAAAACAAAAGAGAAAAACGCCCGAATGCTGACCAACACAATCCAAAGGAAAAGAAAGGAGGACCCCAACAACATTATTATGTACTTGTCAACCAAAAGTCCCCGCCGACGTCCTTACACTCAACCGCCTGGCATCCTTCGGCCTCAGCGACACCATTTCTATTCCGTTATCTTCAGGACTTGTTATGCTTTCTGCAGTAGTGGCGGTCGTGGCTCTGCGCATATTGATATTTGTCGACCCAATTGTTCCGGTCCGCCTTCTCCGTGCACCGGCGATCAAGTTGTCATTCGGGCGATCGGGGGTGGATCGCAACCCCTCTCCTTGCTCGTGTTCCGTACTTGTCGTTTCATACCCAGAGCTGCTGTACCTATCCCGCCTTTCGGGCTCCATACGCTCCCGATCGTCCCCGCCATTCGAATCCTCGTCCCTGGGCTCCCAGTTTCGATGGTGCGAGGATGCAAATGTCGAGTCAAGGAACAAGTCATCCCCCAGAGTCTTCAATAATCCAGCAAAAACGTTCATGAGCTCCATGAATTCCCTCTCTTCAATCCCTTCACCTTGATTGCGGAACCGAGCGCGTTCATATCTGGCCATAAATAAATCTGCAACATCCTGCCGCACATAGCCCACCGCCGCCAACTGGTTCAAATAAGCCCTGAATGACACATGTGGCTGTCGTCTAACCACCTCCTGGTCTGGCGCGGTAATCTCCTCAGGCCCACTCAGTGCAGGAGTCCTAAGCCCACCCCTCGGAGACTCAGGAGCGCATAACGATAATGCTTCCATCTCTAATAAATTCGGCAACTCCTTGACAACAGACAAGTACTGTACATTCGGCAGCTGTCCGGTTCCACCGGACCAACCCGGATGCTTGATTTCCCCCCAAACCCCCTCCTCACCCTCCTTTGGTCGGTTCTGCACAGCGATAACCGCGCTCCGACTCAAATTTGCCGTAACAGCCTTGTGCACCCGTGGCCTCAAGTAACCTTTCTTGACGGGTGCGTAGGACTTCGGAATATCGGCCATCAAACGCCTGACACTGTAAATTCGAGAAATGTAGAGTATTAGTGCGATCAGGGCTGTGAGAACGTAGCAGCCGGCAACTATGAATACATTGTTAATCCTCACGTTTCGAATGAGAGCTTGAACAATGGTGTCGGCTGGGGTGATTAGGACAAGGATGGCCAGAAGGAGGAAGAGGACCGTGAAGGAGGTCGAGTAGAAGAAGTGAAAGAGGGTGAAGCGCATGGCCGCATCTGGTATTTGGACGCCCTAGGCCAAGGGCAGTATCGTGTTATGGCCGCGATGCTAAGGAAAGCGCAAAGATGCAGAGGGGACGGGTGGATGCAGGGCAGGAGTAAACGAGATCTCTAAGCCGTAAATCTGATGCAGTTACCCTCCTCTCTTGGCGATGAGGCACGTATCTGATAACTTACGATCTAACCGTACTTGGACACTCGCCTACCGTACAGCCGGCAGTCGTAGTTTGATGGTAAATACGGTAGACGAGAAGAGCTATCAAAAGCCATTATCGAGGTGCGACCTTTTATCTACTCTTTAAGGAACCAAATACTAGTATTGAAGGGGGGGGTTTACTTTTTTTAGCACAACCCTCACGGGCGAAGCTTTCATCTATATCTAGTGCTAAAAACCAGCGCAAACCATTCTATCAGTCTAATCCTTCTAGGAAGCGTAAATAGGACAAACTCGTACAGAAATCCAGGATAATAAAAGGAATTACTGCAAATATATCGATCCATAACAATAATGGTCGGTGATGGCATTACGGTCCTGGACTACAGAACCCACAGTATCACTATTCAATTCAAAATAAGCTCGCAAAGCCTTTTCTGACTATAATTAGCCCAAACACCCTACCGGTAGGCAAAGAGCGCAAATCATGTTCCACGAACCATCCCTCCCGAGTGTACTTTACAAGTAGCTGTTATCTGAAAACATGGAACTATGATATTTTTACCCCCCCCCCCCCCCCGGCAAATCCACTTTCCTGCGTTGAAAGCACCTGAGGCAAAGGTTGCCATCCTTAGAGCTCCGTAGCCTAAAGCTTTGGTAATAAATTTAGTAACCATTATCGCCTTTATCTCTAGCTACTGTCTCCTAAGCTGCTGGGTAAATAGCACTGTCTCACCCACGACTTGTTTCAAGTCACTTCCCTTGTGGTAAAATCGAAATAAAATTCGGCGGAAATCTAGTTTAACTACAGACGGATGGATGCCTACGGCTAGGCGGGCGGTGCAAAATATCTCTAAGATAACACGCGATTCCTGAGGTATCAGTGTTAGATTTCCCACAAGAATCAAGAGTCACGATCTAGTTTCAAAGAAATGACTGCGGGACGGGGGGCCTGTTGAAAACATGAGAATTATTTCATATGGGAGCCTTAAGCATTCACGTGTATATGTAAGTGCTTACACATCTTTCATGTCTTTGTTGTGCGTTGCTCCCTGAAGCTTGTTTTCTCCTGTTCTTTTTTCTCTTACCTAACCAACCAACACATCCAATTCCTTCTGTTCCTCCCTCGCTGTTTCCCCTACTCTGCACATTCAACAAAACAAAACCTACCTCCTTCTTTTCTTTCTCTTGACTCCACTCTCTGTATACAAAGAAAAATACTTTTCTCTCTTTGGGCATTTACTTCCTTCGGTTCCGTAAAACCTTCGTCAATTCAACCGCAATTTTCAACAGGGCCTGTTGAAATTGGGCTTTCAGATATGTCCTTGCTACGTCTTAGAGTATGACATTGCTGGTCATTCTCCCTTAGTATCGGCTTGCTGGTAGTTCCTGAGTTTGACTTATCCCACTTGGGTTTTTCCTTATATCATCATTACTCAATCTGTCCTGCAGATATGAAACGGTGTTCTCATCTACTTCTCTTGCCTTCTATGTTGTTTTCTTTTCTTCTTCTCCGCTGCTGATATATGTTGCTGCTTTACAGCATAAATAGTGGGTCCTCTCCCGGACCTGGTGTAGAATTCTCTTTTGACAATAACAATCTGAACTTCTCGCTCTCATCTGTCTTCGGTATATGCCTTGATCGTTGCACCTATTTTCAACAGGTTATGAGCCCGGGTTAGCCATCTAACTCAATATATCTTCTCTTCTTTTATCTATCACATTCTCTTTATCTTATTCTTTCTCTTTCCTCTCAAGAAATCCTATGTACGACAGTACAGGAACACCAGCGGTCGAAGGCGATATTTACAAGTGTAAATATGGAGAAACTCGAAAGCTCACTGCCAAGAACTGGCATCAGTGGAGTCATGATATGGAATTTTTCCTCCAAGCCGAAGATGCTCTAGAAATCGTTCTAGGACAGGAAGCCGAACCAGAAGGAGATTGTGAGAAGAAGAAAGATCTCTACCGCAAGCGTCTGGGAAAGGCTGCAGCAATGATCAATGCTGCTTGTCATTCATCGGTAAAAGGATGTAACGACCCTACGATATAGAGCTATGGTAACCTACGTCTACGCCCATACAAAAGACCAAGAGGTTTGCTGGTAGACTAGGCGGGTATGCAGGCGCATGTCCGAGGGATATCCGATGGTCCGGAGATCTCTAAAAGAACAGTAGGTACTTAAGGTTTAGTGTACCTAAGTAGTGGTAGTAACGTGACAATGTCCGCTCTGGCCTAAGGATAGGTCAGAAGGCCGGGTGAGCTTACCCTACCTAAGGAAGTCACGTTACCCTACCTTGGAGACAGGTTTCGTGTCACCATGGACATACTTACCCTACCTTTGGGACACTATTACCCTACCTTCCGTCGGAAATGTTCTCGGAAGAATTCCGGGAAATGTTAGGATTGTTTGTTACGCAATAACGATCGACGGGCATTTGGTTGCACTGTGATCGGAAGGCTACGAAAGGAGCTAAAGTGCTTCGAATAAGCTGTAACTTGGTAGAACTATTCCTAACAGGTACCTGCGGCCCCAGGGTTCGCCCCGGGCGTCATGGGCCAAAATGGGTGGAGTTGCCGTTATGCTAGTTAAATGGAATCTATGAAGACATGTCCATAACACTGTATACGTCGTCGCCGTCCGTCCGACCGGAAGCTGTTCGCAGGATATATAAGGGGGCCAAGGTGAGAAGGTCAGGTACCTTCTCCAAAAGGAACGGAGTAAAACGGACCAAAACTGACGGAGTTAGCGTGAGCTATCCGGAAGGGTCCCCAGAGTAGTCCCGGGTAGTGCCGGAGACATCTGGGAAGGTTTTACGCCAATCAAGCCTACATGTGCCCCTTTGCCGTAGGCTCTTTGTGGGTTGTTGGAAGACTCTAACAGCATGATACTTATCACGCTGAGTGGTGTGCCGAAGGTAAGGGACCATGGGTAGCGCCCACGGGTCCCGCCACCGACACAGCTCTACGTGGGAGCGTCGTAGACCCCATAAGTTCGTAATCAAGAAAGATAGAACTTAACCAGGGGACACCTGATGTCTACGGGTGCTTGCATAGTTCATAGCACATGGGAAGAGAGTCATTTAGTTAGCTTTCCTAAGAGTCTCGACAGTTAGCCACTGACGGGACACCGATGCGCAGAGGTTTTCACTCCGGCAGGTGTATTGGTAAACACCTCGCAGAAACCAATGTGCATATGGGAGATTTCTGCTAGAGTGTGCTGACACCTTAGGCCCTTCGGGGATACGGTAATGGTGCCGGCAACCCTTACGGAGAAGGGCATGCTCATGATAGTCGGGGCAACCTGATGGGGGAGTTTTTGGTATAAGTCTGACTACTTGAAGCTTATACGAGAACTCTCCTGCCCCGACAAAAAATCAACATCCTCTCGAGAGACTTTAATTGAGATAAGCCAGAGCTTAACGATATTAAGTTTTACCGTTTACTTTTATTCTTTATACTTTTGCAAGAGCTGTGTTTGAGAGATTTGAAGTTTGGTGCGGTCGCATCCTTGGGAGCCATCTACCTGAGGGAGCCCCCGTTACAAAGGATTCATCAAAGGAACGCGTCATCCGACAGCTATGTGGGCGGCACTTTGTAACGGGCAGGGTCTGAGGGTCGGGTAGCCCAAGGCACACCACGATAGTAACAGGCAAGAGTCTGGAAGTGGGGGTCAGGGACGGGAGTACAACCGAAACGAGTTGTACAAGGCTCGAGAGACTCAGGGGCTCAGGGTCAGGGTTCAGGGGTTCAGGAGGACGCGAAGTAGAAGAGAGTGTAATTCCTAGGTACAGGTGTCCAAAGGAGATTACCAGATTGCGTGAAGAGCACAAAATATAAGGGGGCACACCCCCTTATATAGAAAGAAATCCTCCCCTGATCACTAATACAAAAGAAATCCCTTGGCGTCGCGCGCAGCCGCGATGTCTCCACCATGTTCCGCCAAGTTCCGTCACGCGGCCCCATGTCCCAATCAAGTACCCAAGGAAATCCTTCGCATAGCAACCAGAAAACCCCAACCAATATATGCAACGAAAAACCCAATAACTGTTCCGTC